ATGTAAGACTATATAAAACATACTCATTGAGTTATGGATTGGATTAATTTCCTTTGTGGTTGCTGTTTTCCAGTCAGTTCTGACTGATGGGTTGTGTGTACGTATAGAGATCTGCTCCACTGAGTTTCATGATTGTGACACCTTAGAAGTAAATGACCGAGACTTCCTTTCAAGATACCTCCGAACTAGGTGGAACCACCAATTTTTTTGGCTGGTGGTAACACGCCAGGCAAGGGCTGGTGGGGAAGGGAGAAGTAGGCATCGGCTATGAAAACAAGATAAGACATCTTATTTGTAATCAAGAGAAAATTGCATAATGTTGGACAGTTTGAGGAACAAGGGCCTGATAAGTGCTAAAGTTTCTAATTTTCTTGATGAATACACAATTTTAAAAAATGCCTTCAGTTTGAGATCTATTAAAGTAGTAACAATGTCCTGATTTCATTGTATAGTTTTATTTCATTCATAGTTTACATATAGTGATACAAACTGCCCCAATACTGCTTTGTTTTGTATTTGTCTTCTGACCAAATCAACAAAGAAACTTTACATATTGTTCTAGTCTAAGACCTTTGCATAAAACATAGAAAATCATAAAAGTCTAAGTAATTGACTTAGTTTGTCCACATGGTATCACAATTGACAAAAGACTGAACCTACATATTCTTAGAGCTGAGGTGGGTGGGCTGTGACTAATCACTAGAGGAGAGACTGTAAATCTCAAAAGTCACACTTAAGTATGCTTTATGTAGTTTTCACTTGGAAAGAAGTGTAAATTTGACATCTTCTTTATCAGATGTCTTTTTTTTACTTATTTTCCTAAATAATCTAGCTTCCTATATAGATTTATATGGATATAGTGGTACAACAATGGGCTCAAATATTTCAATGACTGTGATGACATGATTGTTACTGTTGTTAGAGATTGCCTATCTTTCTCCAGTAGAGTAGCTGGTGGATTCAAATTACAGGCCTTTGGTTGGCAGTGCAACTCCTTATCACTAGACTACAAGGCTCTCCCGTGATAGCACAGAAGAGGACAATGTTTTGTTGTTAATAATAAATTGAGACAATTTAACTTCCAACAACATGTATAGGTTTTACAATGAAGAGTACTTATGACTTCAAAGATTATTTCTCAAAACCTTTCTTCCATTAATTGAGAGAAGGAATATTCTTGGCAAGGCAATGTAAGGATCGGAGGGTGGGGTAGCAGATACAAAGATGGAGATAACAAGGAAGGTGAAACACACTTTAATCACTTGTTGCACTAAGTTGCAAAAGGCACAAATCCAGAGGGATATTGCATTTAAAAAAATACAGTTGTTCAGAAGGTTAAGATGTTTAAGATGTATTCTATTTTGGGGTGGGGAAATCAGAATGCCTTTTAAAAGTGGAATTTCAATAAAGTGGTATTTAAATATTTAAAGAACAGCAACTCAGAAATAAATAGTGCAAAAATCATAGATACAGAAAAGTACAATGTGGCTACAAAGAGAAGCTTGCTGATGTAGTGGTTAAAGCACTTGACAATTAATTTAAAGGTCAGCAGTTCAAAGCCATCTTTGCCACAGAATTTTTTTTGGCTTTAATCTTTAGAGGGCTGACTGACAGGTCTTTCTCCTGTAGAGTGGCTTCTTGTTACGTACAGTTGAGTCAGACAGAATCATGGCTGACCCTTTAAGTGGATTTTCAGAGGCTGTAAATAAATAGTGCACAATCTCCTGCCACATGATTTACAGCCTCTGAAAGCCTGCGGGAGGGTCAGCTATGAGTTGGCTACAATTCTAAGCACATAATAAAAATTACAGAACAAAGAACTGAAGAATTGCCCGATAGGGTTTCTAAGGATGTAAAGCCTTACATAAGCTGACTATCTTTCTCCATAAGGCTACTGGTGAGTCAGAACAAGCAACCTTTGTACAGTAGCAGCCACTTAGCTGCAATTCTACTTTTCTATGGAACAAGAAAGTCCACTTCTAACAAGCTTCCTAGTAGAGTAAGAACCCTAACTTGGACCTTAGTTATTGTTATATGCCACAAAGGAGACTGCTCATCTTTCTCTCACAGAGCAGCTGGCAGATTTGAACAGTATGCTTTTGGGATGGCAGTGCAACTCCTTAGCACTAAGCCACCTTTGACCTAAGAGTAATCTTTAACCCTACCTGCCCACTGGAATTCCTTGGAGAGTTTATAAAGATCTGGCCGTAGTCCAGATCATTTTGAAATTTCTGATGGAGACCAGTCTGGAGTATTTGTTAAAAGCTCTTCTGGGAATTCTAATGTGGATGAGAACGACTTTATAGCAATGCAGTCAACCAACAAACCAGCACTTTTTCTCGAGTGGCTCCTTCTTTACATACGCTTTACTGTAACACTATGAAGTCAGTTAGTAAAGCTTAGAAAGGAAAAAAACCCTCTGCCTTTGAACCAATCATGACAACCCTCATTCTGCGGCTATGAACCTTTATGGGAGGAGACCATGCATCCTTTTCTCCTATAAAACAGTTGGTAGATTCCAACCAACTTTGTGGTTATCAGCGTAACATTTACTGCACTACACTCAGAGTGACAAAAAAATTCATTATTCTTGCACCCACCATGCACACTTAACCATGAGAAACTTGGAAAATATGCTCTGAGTTAGGAAATACACTTGTCAAGCAGCTGAGGTCAAATAGCATAGAATATTTTACAGAATCAAGATTTTGAATGCTATCTTTTGGCATCTTGAGATTAAGAAAACCAGAGTTTTTGATCAGGATAGAATTGTAAAAGAAAGTGTTATAGGCAACTATAGGCACATGATAATTAAAGATGCTCGTGTACACACCACTGGGAATGCATGCTGAAGGAGGCTGGGAGGGGCTGTAAGATGCAGGATGAGAGGAGTCGAGTTCATACCCTGAGACACCGAAGACTAAGTCAACATGTGAAACGTGACCCATTACCCAGGGACTCATCTATTTTAAAAACTGGGGG